AAAAGTATGCTTGAAAAACAAGCATGCTTAGTGTGGAAAACGTTTGCCTAGCTGGGGTTTTTACAGAAACTCGATGTGGCTGAGGGAGAGACAATTGGAGTGGCTTAAGTCACAGTTCAAGTCAAGAGTCTTATCACATCCTAGCTCAAGGAAGTGGGGGGAGGAGCGGGCAGAGGCAGCTTTGCAAGTATCTACAACATAACAGCTAGGGTCAGGCTAACAAGTGGGCACAACCATTCCATCACGGCACTGGGATAAACCAAACAGTTTGAGCCAGCCCTAAGACCATAGTGGGTGGTAAAATACAGCAAGGTCCCATGGAGGTACCTCAGAAGAATGTCAGATATCTGATACAAGTGATGTGTTTCTTAGTAACTTCTTAGCTGCTGGATATCAAGACTAATTTTCATTCATCTGGAATGGCCAACAATGGACATTAAAATTACTTCCCCAAGGCTATCTTCATCCTTCCACTATTTGTCATAGAATGGAGAACTAGCACCTTGCTTTGTTACCCTGTCCTATCTTTTGTAATAAGGCTTCATTACACTGATAACATTATGATAACTTCTGAGTGTTTTACAGATTTAGAAAAACATTGAAGGACATACTGGTGCATCTAAAAGAATGAGAATTGGATTTCAATCCATACACGGCCCAAGGGCCAGGCACAACTGCAAAATTCCTGGCAGTGTTCTGGTCTAGTAAGATGGGTATGTTGAGAAAATCCTACAACAGCCAGTGCTTGTAAAAGAGCTACAGATATGTAAAGTAAATGAAAAAAAAAAAAAGAAGTATTGATATTCTTGGGGCTCCTGGGATACTGGTAGAGTTTCACATTCCACCCTGTCCAGTTTGCCCATCCTCTATACAATGATAAAGATGGGTGGTATGTAGAATTGGGACAGAAAGGCTCAGGAGGTTTTTGAGCAGGATAAGTAAGATCTTTGTAAAGGCTAAACCAGCTGTGTGTCCAATTATCCCAGTGCCCTTTTGTGTAAAAAGTTACCAGAAGCTCAGAAGGTTACAGCTGGGGGCTAAGGCAAAAACAACCTGAGCAAATGATCATAATATGGTTTTGGTCTCAGGTACAGAAAGGGGCAGAAGTTAGGTACACAGTGCTCTAACAGTAAATGATGGCTGTATATAAACCATTACAGCAGGCAGAATTCATCACCAGTCCTACCTTGGTAGCCACAAAAAAAATACCTTATACAATTAAGGAAGGATTGGATGCCTTCTGGCCAAGTCTCTTTCTAGGGTGGCATAGAATTAAATTCTACAAAGGTGGTGTACATGTTTACAGGAATATGGTGTAGTGTTTGCAGGCCCTGTTATCAGTGTCATACAGGCTGTCCTGGGGCCAGTGCCCTTCCAAGCTATTGAGACCCCTCTAATAATTGAACCAAAAGATAACCCAGATTAAGTGTAAAAAGGGACACCATCCATCCCTATGTATGCTTGGTATAAAGAGTAGGAGCAAAAAACAGGAAGGAGTAGCTGTAGTAATACAAATGAACATAGACACCATGTGATTGAAAAAAGAAAATGTAGCCAATGCGCCTAGTGAAGAACAATACAGATAGTAGTAACTCATGAGACTTTGCCTGAGACAATCTGTACTGACAAGTGGGCTATATTCAGAGGCCCCACTTTATGGATGACAAAACGGGAATAGGAAAACTGGAAGGTGTTGGGTCAGCCATGGTAGGAATAACAGATGTGGAGACAAATACATAATAGGAATCATAACCTCTGATAGTTTTCCATGTAGCAGCCTGCACCCCATTGAGTCCTCCTAGAAATCAGGAAGCAGATGCCTTTACAAAAGTATGGGCCATCTATCCTCAGTTACTACTAGAGGCTGATCACTGGGTTCATGTAAAGGCCGGAGCCAACACCATTTGGCAAATGGCTGAAGCCATTGACATTCCTGTAAAATATTCTGAAAATCCTACATGCTGTCCAGTCATGTGGGTCTGATCGAGATTGTGGCCTTGACAGATGGATTCTATGACAGGGCAGGTACTAAAGTCCCTATAAAGGACAGGCAAATAGAATACACAGGGCTTATACCTGTCAGTGCAGGATGCAAGCATGCCCTCACTATAAGGTATACAGATCAGAAAGACATGAGTTAAACTTGAGTTCTGTTCTGAGGGACCAGAGAGAATATGATTTTACCTTGGCCTTGACTTGTAAGACTCTGGAGTTAATAGTCTCTACACAGAGATATTGTGAAGATGAAATGAATTAGGTAAATATACATTTTTAGTGCTATGTACTGTTCTGTGTTTAGCTTGATTTTTCCCATTAACATTTTATGACTTATCAGTTTTGTTTAACATGTTTAAATAATTCCAGATTTGTTGCAAAAATTGTGCAAAGGAGTCCCATATACCTTTCACCTAGATTCCCCAAAATAAAACAGGCTATATGATCAACCTAGCTTCAAATATTAGAAAATTAACACTGATGTGGGGCTGGAGATGTAGCTCAATAGTAGAATACTTGCCAATCAAAGCCTCAAGTTGTAGCTCCAGCACCACATAAACTAGGCATGGTGGTGCATGCCTGTAATCTCAATACTGGGGAGTTGAATGCAGAAGGACAGGAAGTTCAAGGTCATGACCAGCAAGCTAGCTCAGCAGTTAAAGGTACCTGGTAACAAGCCTGACAATCTGAGTTCAATTCCAGGAACTCACAGTACAGAACTGAATCCCACAAGTTGTCCTCTCACTTCCACACATGCATCATGGCTCATGTATATTAACACAATTACATGCAAAAATTAAAAAAGTTCCAGGCCAGCCTGGGCTATATGAGACCATCTATATATTTTATATTAAAAGCATATGTATTATATAATATATTAGGTATCTATATCTATATCTATATAGATATCTATTATAGACTGTGGTCATTCAATTTCTAGTCTAAGATTCAACTAAGATCACATGCTTCATGGTTGATTTCCTTTATCTGGGACAGTTTCTCAGTCTTGGTCTTTTCATGATCTTGATGATGTTGAAGATTATATGTCCATTACTATACACAAACCCTCTGATTTGGGTTTGTCTGATGTTTTCTCATGGTTAATTTTTGGCGGCTTGTTAACTTATGCCATCAGGGGAGGGTATAATGATGATAATATAGTGTCCTAGTTAGGTATACAAACTCTAGCCACAATAGCTGGATCCAAATTTTGGCTCTCATGACCTTGGTTTTTGTGACTTAGTTTCCTCATTGGGCATATGGGAAATATCAGTAATGTATCTCCTAAGGCTTTTGGGATTAGGAAACATGTAAAAACGTATACTGTGGCTAGAACACTGTTACTTAAAACAAGGAGTTGGACATTTGGTGGTTTTACTAATAGCACATTCTTGGCAGTTCAGGAAGAAACTAAAGCAGCAGCAGGTGATTTAGCAATGTATATCCTTTCTTCTTCCCTACCCAAAGAACAAGGGCCAAAGACTTACTGTCAGCAGAACTTCTGGCCTACCATGAGGTACACTGTTCATTTTAGCCACCAATCTGTTTCCAGTACTTGCTCCTAAGACCCCTGAGATCAGGCCTCACTTAACCCATAGAGGAACATTTCTTTAGAATCAAGGATGAGTGAACTAGGCACTAAGCTCTGATTCCTTGCTCACCTAATGAATGGGAAAACGTGAATAAAAACACAGCAAACTAATGCCATCTCTCTCTCTCTCTCTCTCTCTCTCTCTCTCTCTCTCTCTCTCTCTCTCTCTCTCTCTCTCTCTCTCTCTCTCTCTCTCTCTCTCTTTTCCTGATAACTATTCCCAGAGCTAGGGCCTCTTGGCTTCATTAGTATGCATCCAGCACTTTACCCATAGACGCATTCACTGAATAACCATAGTGATAACCTCAGCCCCTAACCTTTGCATGTGTTTCTTGCTGAAGAGGTCAAATCACTCAAGACCTCACAACAGTCACTGTATTGGCAATTGAAGGCAGACAAAACAGGGAGACAGAGAGTGACCCATAAGGTTGGATGGGGGAAGGGAAGGAATCCTGAAGAGACTGACTTCAGTAAGTTAGAAAGCATGTATTACACATATGTGAAACGTTGGTAAATGACAAGTGTTAACTAGTGTCAGAGCAATAAGCAAGTCTTTAATATAAAAATAACTGTGCTTCCACCTGAGGGGCAAATTACATTTTACAGAACAAGTCTCATTCCTTAACTCATTTGACTTTCATCACACTGGATAAGAGTATTTGAAACTTTAACTCAGATCTTGTTTCTAAATACAGCACATTTCTCACAACAATACAAAGGAAATATAGACTAAACAGAGTACTAATTGAATTGAAAGGGTACCAAAATGAAGTGGTTGAAGTGCAAAACGCAACACAATCAGACTTAGGTCCAGCAAATGGCTTGACAGCTAAGCACTTTTCCAGAAAGGGGTCTTTCTCAAGGCCTGAGTGTAGCCAGAGCAATATAAGGAGGCATGAAGGGAGATGTGAATATGCACATCTTTGTACTAACTTCAAGCTACAGTAAAATGTTATCTTTGGTCACTTAAGAATCAGAGTTTCAATAGATCAAACATGAAGATCACACAGAATGTACATCACAATCCCTCGAGTGTGTGGGCAGCAGTAAGAGCCTACCACGAACATCTAATATGCATTTATTGAGCTGGCTGGGTTTTACACTCCTTTTTTTGGTGCTAGGGATCAAAACCAACACTTTGTGCATGCTTAATACACACTGTATCATCACTACATCCTAGCTGGGTCTTTATTTATACAATCATAAAATATGGTCTTATTAAAAAAATTTCACAAGTTTCTTACCTCAAATTAGGTACAGCCATAAAACATCAGTTGAGTTCATGGAGATGTTGTAGCAACCTTTTGTGAACTGTACATGCAAACAGGAAATTAGAAACTTACTCCCTATCACTAAATTGCACCTATAACATTTTGATATCAAATTGATACTTTAAAAAGAAGAGGCCCAAATATCAATTATATCATACCAAAGTTTATTGATTACATCAAACGAAAATTTCTGTAATGAAAAAGGCAAGTTGCATTCATAAAAGATGGCATTCACGTTCATTTTAGAAAGCAACAAAGTAGATGTAAAAAATTGCTTAAGTGAAAAATGTAATATTGCAGTTCCATTTTACAAGCTGAAAAATGATTTTATCAACATCTGCATAAAATCTGCACATTTATATACTGCATGTTATTAAAAAATTCCATCACTAAATTATGACTTTTGCAAATTTAGGCTTACATTTATACTGTTGCTGGTGTATATGTAGTAGATATGGAATGAATATTTCTGTTTAATAGGCAACATCCTCAAACAATAAACAACAGTGTGGAAAATACAAGGGACATTTTGATAGCTCAAAAAAATCATTCAAATTATGGTAATATGGTCCTACTGTTTTCTTATTGACTTCTTGCCCTCTTCTGATATAAGAGTGGTTAGATTATAGTACTAGGAATACTGGATGGCTCATTTCAAGTTACTTCATCTGATAATCCCACGCTAGCCATGTTTTAGATCATTAATAAAAAACTTTCAAAAAGCAAACCCATGCTCCTCTGATTTGAGCTGCAGTGTACAATGTAATGTGTAACTGAGATACAACTCTAAATAGCCCTCACTTGCTTATCTAGATTTCTCTCTACTGCCACATGTCACACATATTCAGTTTTATTTCTACTATCCTGGATATCCTGATTATATCAACTCCTCAATTGTTCTGCATTAACTAAGCCTCTCTATTTGGCTCTTATAGTTATTCACAGTCCTTATAGTTCTGATGTAAAATAATAACAATACAGCAGCAACAACAATGACAATAACAATAACAAAATAGCAAAGCTTTCCTGGGTTAGATGTTTTAGCTCTTTGGAATAGGCAAAGAATAGAAAGACTTTGCTTTCAGCAGATCACCTCAAATACAGGCTACAATAGCACACAGCACACTTAAGCTGTAAATGACATTTAACAAAATACTCAAAAATAATACTGATAGACAAGAACAAATTAAATTAATTATGGAATGGTTTTTGGTAACTGAAATTATGACCTTTTCAGAATTTAAGAAATATTACATCTAAACATCAACACAATATATACGGAAGAATCAAATGTGCCATATGGACTATATAAATATATGGAATAGAATGAACCTAATACTTTGCTAAATCAAGGTACAATATAAACATCAAATAGTACAGGCATGACAGAAAGACAAAAAATTGGAAACTGATAGAAAAATATTTTCTAAATATCATTTTAACTTAGCTTTCAAATGTGGTCCCTCTATTGAATAAAGACATTTCACACTTACTTCATGTTTTAAGTGAACTTATTAGGGGTAAAAACCTCTTTCTTATCCAGTAGTTTGAGGATCTTACCAAGGTCCACCTCATAGTTTAGAATTAGACTACTTTACTGTCCCAGTCAGCTACAGGAGATAACATTCATGTCCAAAGGGTCATGGCTCTTACAAGTTGAACTGTTTTAGAATGGATCTCTCCCCTACCAAATTGGTAACTTAAAAAAAAGTGCTGTATATATACACAAACACAACCTCTTTCAAATAAAAACCGTTAGTAGTTTAAAATAAGCTATTCCTCCTCTCTTTGCCACATAAAATTATAAAATGCCGATGTTAAGAATGGCACTTATTTTTATATATTTAATCCATCTTACCTCATCACCCAGCAAAATTGACATTGGAAATATCTTATTGCTTAACTGTTTTGAGGGGCTACTACCCAAGTGACCAAAGTGTTTTATTTTCAAGTTTAAATACATAAGTGGTGTGTAGTTCAGAAGAAAACGAACCAAATAACCTTTTGCAAACTTGTTTCTACAATAATACCCAGAATTAACAGTATCGCACAAAGTATTCAAGGTATTTTTTTAGAAAGGATATTAGAGACCAAGACAATTAGCCTGTGAATGAACAGAAGATAAACTATTTTGTCTGATGCAGTAATATCATTTAGTTCTTCTGTATTTTCAAGTATTCCTTTTATATTTGGAAAAAAATAAGATAATCATTCAGCAGGAACGAGAAATGTGATACAAACAGCCTATGTCTTTTGCCAGGCAAAAAAGTTAACACTGTTTTAGCAAAATCTGTTCATTTCCATTGCATGACTTCTACTTTATACTACTATATTTAAATCCATTCACGAAGTCAATGGGTTAAAAGAGCACCCATTTTATAGTTACTTTATTCTATCTAAATCCAGAATTCTAAGTATGCTTACTTTAAACTTTCATATAATTCTTAACTTTGGCCATAATGGCTACTTACAATAACTGTAAATGGTTAGGAGAGTTATTTGGTATTTTAATGGACATTTATTCTGAACCCTACACACGAGAGTGGTTTTTGTTGCATATTGAGTATCCTGAGTTAATATCTTTTGTAGTTGTTCCTTCATGCTTTCTTTCTTTAGCTGCAACCACAGTCAATATGCTTGTAGGACAACAACATGGGCAGTTCAAGATTCAGATTCTGAAAAGGTTAAAATATAGAGTTACAAAATTTATTTTGGTAACAACATATAACCATCTGTTTAACATTTTCAAAAATAAAGCAAGTAGTAAATTTTGTTATGAGAGTAAAGCAACTGTTTTAACAAAAGTGCCAAGTTTTATTCACATGCAAGAGGGAAAAAAGTGACACAATAACTGGATTTCTAATTTTTTCTTCATCTGTCAGCTGAATAGTTCAGGCTTGCTCTTTGCTTTTGGATTGCTCCAGGGCTCTCCTAGTAGTTTTTCCCACTGGGATTGCCTATTAAGCTGGGAGCTGCTGGAACACAGGATCATGATAGTTTTATCTCTAGCATCTAGTAAAATGCTTGGCATGTAGTAGATGCTCAGGAATTGAAGGAATGAATTGCTTATTTTTTGATGTGTGAATTATCTTTGAGTATGTATGTATGTGAGTATACATGCATGTGTGTGTATGAGCATGTAGAGGGCAGAGGTTAACCTCTGGTGTCATGCTTAGGTGCCATTCACCCTTTTTATTATTTTGCAGGAATTCATTAAGTAGCCTTGACTAGCCTTGAGCTCACAGAGATCCACCTACTTTTGCCTCCCAAGTGGTGAGATTAAATGTGTGCAGCATGACACTCTGCCCTCACTTTTTTTTTTTTTAAAGATAGGGTCTTTCAGTGGGACCTGGGCTTGCCAATGAACTAGGCTGACTAGCCAGTAAGCTCCAGGAATTCTCTTGCTTTGTCTTCCAAGGAATCCTCTTATTTCTGCCTTCCCAGCATTAGGATTACAAGTACACCAGCATACCTGGCTTTTTTCTGTGACTGCTGGGTCTTGAATTCAGGTCCATATGCCTGCACACTCACCACTTTACAGCCCCAGCCCCTGGATTTGTGAATTTTGAGATGTTCAGTTTTGGAAATTTTCTGTGAAAATACTCCTTTACTAAAAAAAAACCACCACCCATAATATCAAAGTTATTTTTTCTTTTTGGTAGATGATTTACTATGATTCAAATGACTCTTCTTTTTCTTATTCATCATCTACTTAAAAGAAAAACCAGAGAAATATCCCTAATAAATCTGCAGATTCTTCTCTCTCCTCTAAATACTATTTCATGCTGTGATCAGGATGGGTAAAATAGACAACCTGAATATAAACACTGAAGTTATGTGTCAAGAAGGGGGGGTATATCTTTGATTCTCCATGATAAAATCAAGCTTTAAAGTTTGTTTAAAATGTATTTATTTAGAGTGTATTGTGTGTGCACATGCCATAGTGCATGTGTGGAGGTCAGAGACTAGCCTTCAGGAGTCGTTCTCTCCTTCCAACATGTGGGATTGAACTCAGGTGATCAGGCTTGGCAGCAAGCATCTTTATCTGATGAACCATCTTGATGGTCTAAAACTCAAAAATTTTGAATTACAGTAATGGAAGAAGGTCTTAAAATGGTACTACTTTGTTCCCATTCTGGGACACCTTTCTTATCATAATTGGACTATAAATTCATTAGAATACCCTCAATTTCTACTCATGTTTCCCAGTCTTCAGGTCATAATGACTTTAACCAAAATAAGGTTGCCACTCACCCTGAGAGTATGTGAAAGAAATCAGGTCGTCCCCTTATCTACCAAGGAACAAATTCAGTGGCTGAAGTGCCAAATATTTTCCTTGAAGAACTAATGCTACATGAAAATCAATTCCTGGAAGAAATAACTACATTAAAAGTGAAAAACTTTTTAAACTTCATTTTTTTTCAAGACAGGGTTTCTCTGTGTAGTTTTGGTGCCTGTCCTGGATCTCGCTCTGCAGACCAGGCTGGCCTAGAACTCAGAGATCTGCCTAGCTCTGCCTCCCAAGTGCTGGGATTAAAGGCATGTGCCACCTCTGCCCGGCCTTTTTAAACTTCTTAAATTCTAGATGTTTTAGTTGAGGCCCTGGAGAGGCCAAAAGCAGTAGCAGTATCTGCTACTCAGCAGAGCCCCCCAACCATAGACCAAGCTAAAGAAAGCAATCCAGGGGGATACAAAATTAAATGCAAATACTATAGCTGAGATGCATCTCATAGCTTACTTAGGACACAGCAATCTGAAACAAAATGGCCAAAGATTTTGAAGGCTACTAAGAAGTAAACTCATTACTAAGGGGAAAAACATGCAGGTGAGTCAATAAAAAAATGTATAACATGCTGACTGCAGCAAAAGAAGTATGCTTCCAAAATAACACTGCAGACACAGAATGTGGTGAATGATAGGAGGTAAAAGAACCAACAGATTCAATCTATTAAAATGGGCTAAGGTAGAATCATAGATTCAAGTATATTGTCCCACAATTTTATTCATATGATCACATTTTTTTTCTTTTTTCTTTTTTTTTTTTTGGTTTTTTGAGACAGGGTTTCTCTGTGTAGTTTTGGTGCCTGTCCTGAATCTCACTCTGTAAACCAGGCTGGCCTCGAACTCACAGAGATCTGCCTGGCTCTGCATCCCAAGTGCTGAGATTAAAGGCATGCGCCTTCACTGCCTGGCAATCACAATTTTTTATGTGCGCATAAAAATCAGCCCTGCTATAAACTGTACTGAGTTGCTTGTAGACAAGTTTATAAGTGAATTACTTGGGAATTACTCCAAATTTCCTTCAATGGATAAAATACCTTTCAGGACCTCGAGTGTCAGAGTCCTCTGAAGTAGGAAATATAGATTGCACATGAAAGGAGTCATTCTGAGTTCTAGGGTCCCTCTCATGGTATATTAATTTCTCTAAAATATTTTTGAGGTAAATAAAACCAATATTATAAAATAAATTTTTTTAGGAAACATTTTGTCAATAAGCATGCATCCCCCTGAATAGCTAGGAAAGATTTTACCTCTGAGAGCTGAAACATTTAGCTTGAATAAAACTTGACATTAAAAATGTTATAATTAGAGGACTGGATCATTAACATGTATTTGGGGATTAGACGTTTACAAGGACATTAAAAGTGTAAACCTACAAACACACAGACACAGCACATGAAGGTACAAACACATTTGATTATCTTCACATAGTTCCCAGAAAAACATGCAATGCTAAACTGACTTGGTATTATACAGATGCAATTTTGGAATATTTGTTTCTCCAAATCATCCTTATAAGTCAAAATTATATTATTTCTAGATCAATATTAAGTATTTTCACATGATGGCACCGCCACAACAATTTGTCCTTCACAAATTAAATATATTGTATTAACATTCAGTTCTGAAAATGTCATCATTATGAGTTTCAGCAAATTTAAAATATAAATTTCCCCATATTCCAAGCAATGCATCTTTATATTTTTGCAAAGAATAGTATAAAGTTCACCACACCAACAGCAGAGAAAATTTAAAGAGTGATATTTTCATTTTTTCTTTATAATGCTGTTAATCTGTTTCTTTAAAGCCAGCCCACTTGTTTAACACTAGGTACCTGTTACAATATATTAGATTCGTCTGAGAATGTTCGTAAAAGAAGAGGTCTGACTGAAGGTCTGGCGGATAATGAGTCAGATGCCCTTCTACAGCTCTGATTTCTCTGTAATAGTGAGGCAAAGATACTTAAAGCATTTGAAGATAGGTTAACCTACCTGGTGATTAAAAATGTAGGAGAAAAAAGAAATCATTTCCTACAGACTACTTTCCTGGCCCCAAAGTACAAATTATTTTACTACACAGAAAATGCATAACATTCAAATGAATACATTTAAAGGACCAAGAAAGTCTCCAATTCAAACTGTTTCTTTTGTGGTATAAGTAAATGATATTAGCAGTATGTAGAAAACTTAGGTTTCTGGGATGGCACTGGTAGGTTATATGGTAAGATGAGTCAATATGGCTTGATTAATGAACCTTACCATCCTTTTGGTGAACACCTCTGAGAGTTGTGCTGGTGCTCTGAGTGTGTCAAAAAGGAGAAATTTGTGCAAAATGCTCTTGTCCTGATAAACAGGCTAGGTCTAAATCATGGCTTCTATATTGCATACCCCATATTACAAAGTTATAGTTTAAGTGTTTGAAAATTACTCCTTCTCCAGTAAGACAATTTAGAAGGTGAATAAATGATTAAAAGAAAATGACAAAATATTTTAAGTATTAATAGAAAATATAAAAATGAGTCATGAGAAGTAACTTTTTATGAAGAATCAGAAATGGTGTCAGGCAATGAGAATGCAAGCAAGTTGGTACATTAAGAAAGGAAATCACCTTATTCACTCCAAGAGAAACTGTGATTGCTGGAAGTTTGAGAAAGCATGAAGATAGTAGATGTTCCTGAGGAAGGGAGGCGTTTCATTACCTTGTTCACAATTGCACAAAAGGTGGAAAATTGCAGTAGAAAAGAGAGAAATGCAGAAAGCATAAAAAAGAAGAAAAAAGAAAGAAAGAAAAGAAAAAGTAAATATTCTCTCAGATGTAAAACATTTAAAAAGAAACCTTGAGAACTGGAAGTAGAAATGACATGTTAGTTTGGAAAACGTTACTTACTAAAGTAAAAGAGTTAGTTAGAAATAATCTATTATATGTGCCAGCTGCTGTTTTCCTGTATATCAACTTAAAATAATTTTATTAATGGGGATATACTATTTTAAATCAAATAATTCTAATATGCCTCTTACTAAAAAAGGTTAATCTCTAATCAATAATTCACTACCTTATGTTTGTTCAAAATCCATTGGTCAGAGAGCTATGTTCACGTTCCATCACAAATCACTAATGTACCTGAAGTAACTATCTTTCCTATTCAATTGTACAGACACATTATGAAAGAATTGACTGCTCCTTAGGCAGCTACAGTAAAAAAAAAAAAAAAAAAAAAAAAAAAAAAAACTAACCAAAACCAATATAATGAGAAAACATATGGTGGTGCAACCATCCTACCATTTGCCTCTGAATTAGTGGTTAATTTCCTTTTTTCTAGCATAGTTTGATCAGTTTCACTATTTTTCTTACATAAGAGACCTCTTTACAAAGGTGGGCTAAATTTTTCTGAAGTACACATTTTTCAAACTCAAAAAATTAGAAATTGTAAAAATTTAATTAGAAAAATCTGAGATTCTTTTTCCTTATCTGAAATCATAACATAATTTGCAGAGTTAGCTTTGGCATTGCCCATGCAAGACAGAAGCTGGGAGGTCAACTATGGATGGGGATGAACTCAACAACTCCGCTAATCAATATAACCCAGGTTAGCCAGGTGTGGTGGTACACACTGTAGTCCAAGCACTCAGGAGGCTGAGGCAGGCAGATCACTATGAATTTGACTCTGTTCCCAAAACCAAAACCAACTAAACATCCACCCAAACAATCAGAAGATTACTCTTATCTTTTTACTCATTAAAGAAAATAGGCTTAGGAAAAGAAAGTAGCTCAAGTGATTGTACATATCTAGGAGAGTTTAATAACCAAACATTTAAATACAAATACTTCCATTTTTGTGTTCTGATATAACCATACTTCTTCCCATTTATATTTTACTTTAAATGCAGAAGTTGGAGACATGTTGGAAGTATACAAATTACCAGTTGATTAAACTAGAGAAATATTTCAGATTCTCAAAGAAAAAAATCTATCTTCTGTTTTGCGGGCAAAAATCCTGCAACAAGATTAACATGATACCATGTCCCCATTCCCAAGTTTAATGTGCAAGCCTATCTATTTAGAGACTGCAACTATAAGCACATTTTGTTGTGTTCAAAAATCTGTATTCAACCTCCAGAGATAAAAGTAGTACAGAAGCAAAAGTTTTAGAGGCCAATAGATTAGGTGTTTAGAGACTTTATAAAGAAAAAAAAAGGAAATATGAACATACAGAAAGCAGTAGAAAGCATGACATGAAAAAGAGTATTCAAAACAATAAAAAACAGCTAGCAACTGGCAGTGGTAGGTGAGAACAGGTGATGATGAGCTAAAACAGTGTAAAATGTACACATTCCTTTGCAGTCATCTATAGAGCTTTAAAATCAGCTCAAGTATAGTATGCCAAAGAGGCCAAGGATAAAGGCTCGTCCCAACAACCATGATTTTAGGAATTTCCTTACAATAGTATTAGAATGTAATTTTATTTTCAGTAATACATTTTTTCAGGAGTACTGCCTTCTGAATACATGATTGTATATGACACTGTAAGTATTGCAACATGACTCATCATTATTACCATTTATTATTAAAATGATGCTATATTTTCCAAAATGCATTCTCTGGGAACTTTACTCAGGTAGTTGACATTCTTTCTTTCCCTATGTTCTCCTCTTAAATGGCTTCATATCTATACATTGGAATATTCCCTTCATATTTTGTGTAGACATCTCACACTAGGCATTGGGATGTTACTGGGTCATTTCCTACTAATCAGACAACTCTTCTCATGTCTAGCAGGCAGTGAAGCCTCCTTTTAGATTGAGGCAGACTATATGAGAAAACATTATATAACGAACGTTGGAAAATCTTCTTGCTGGAAATGTAAAGTAAAATAGTATTTACTACTTGCCTAGAAGGTACAGGGGTATTTCAATGATTTACATGGAGGCTATTGTGTTTATATGAGATATAGCTTCCTGAAATACCTCAAATCTTAAACCTTAAAACTCATTTTCAGGTGTTATCTTGCTTCTTTACTGTTCAATGCTCAATGGTAGTTCCATCAAACATTGCCAACAGTATGGTTATGAAGCATTGTCATTTCATAAGCTAAAGAAAAGCTTTACTGTTTTTTCTTTTTTGAGACAGGGTTTCTCTGTGGCTTTGGCTGTTCTAGAACTCACTGTACAGACCAGGCTGGCCTCAAACTCACAGAGGTCAGCCTGCCTCTGCTCCCCAGTGCTGAGATTTAATGTGTGTGCCACCACCGCCTGATGTAAACTTTACTATCTTTAAAGATGGGCTTTAGTTCAAAAATTAACCTCTTTGATGAAAATTAAGCTGAGAGGTAAATTGTTGAACTATAACCCTTGAATTAAGTGACTTGAGTGAGCTTATTTTCATTGAACATAGGTAGGAATGCATGCCTAACATGACATAAATGCATAGTTCAGAGAACAACTTGGAGGAAGGAGTTGGTTCTCTTCTTCCACCATGTGGGTACCACGGAGCAAACTCAGGTTCTCGGGTTTGGCAACAAATGCCCTTACCCTCTAAGCCATCTCACCAGACCTTTGAGCTTATTTTCAAAGATATATTTTTAAAAATTAAAATTAGAAATTTATCACTTATAATCATTTATAGTTTACTTAGGCTTTTTCATTGATGTGCTTTTCCTTTTTTAAATTTTATTTATTGATGTATATGAGTTCTCTGTCTTTACGCACAGTGGAAGAGAAAATCAGATCCCATTATATGTAGTTCTGAGGCACCACATGGGTGCTGGATCTCTGAAAGGGCAGCCAAGTGCTCTTGGCTGAGCCATCTCTCCAGCCCTCCTTTTTTTTAAGAGACAGGGTTTCTCTGTGTAGCCTTGGCTGTCCTGGAACTTACTCTGTATACCAAGCTGGCCTTGAACTCATAGAGATCTGCCTGCCTCTGCCTCCTGAGTGCTGGAATTAAAGGTGTGCACCACCACTGCCTGGCAAATAATATGCTTTTCTTTCTAAGTTTTTCTTGAGACACATAAATATTCCAAAAGCTATTTTTATCTCCAGCCCATTGCAATTGCATTTATTCTTTGGTAATTTTATATATGAGTGTAAGATATTTAGATCACATTCATCTCCCCTTCCAATTCTTCCTACTCTGCATTCTTTATTTTTTTGAGATTTATTTTATGTTTAAGAGTATTTGCATGTTTGTCTGTAAATGGTAAGCATGGATGGCAGCTGTGTAGGTCAGAAGAAGGTATCAGATCACTTAGAACTGTAGTCACAGATGGCTGTGAGCTACTACGTCTATGTGGACCTACGTCCTCTGCAAGAACGTGCGTTCTTAACTGATGAGCCATTTTTCCATCCCCGTGAGCATTATTTATAATGCAAACATCATAACAGATCTTAGCAGTGCTGGGGGCTACCATTATTAGCCTTTTTACTGGAGATTTTAGGAGAAAATTACTCCAATCTTGTTATGCTATCAAAAGCCATACAATTGATTTCATTATTATGTTTTACATCTGCTTACTTACTGAAGGGTTCAAAATGAACGTATTTTATAATGTAACTAGAAGGAAAGCTCCAAAGAGCTGGGGGCCATGTTTGATTCATCCCTGAATTATCACCACCTACTCTAGTAGCTAATGAATGTATCAAGGATCCTCAGACAATATAAATTGAATTGACAGGAACCCCAAATAAAAATGCCTTTATAATTATTAAATATATATTAGCTTCTTTTTCAAACATCATAGAAGCATGTTCACTACCTACTGTTAAGTCTCCTTTTAAAAACAGCTTCTGAGACCCATTTGTGGATAGCACTGATAGGCTACCTGCTGCAGACAATTCTAGAGTATGTAGAGAATGTGCAGTATGCTTACTGAAGTTAGGGGCACCTTCTACTCCAGATAGGGATACACATTTCAATTTCACCCTATTACAGAATCTGCTAGGCTCTGAGCATGACCCAGTGTAAAGTAATCTGCTTCACTTTAAAGTAAGTCTACCCTCTTGTTTAACAAGGAATACTGAGCAAAATAGGAAATCACTCAAGATTTCACACAATTAGTCATTAAATATAAAGACTACTATATTTTATGGAAAATAAGGTATTCATTCTCCTTTATTTAAAAGTTGGTTTCTTCTTGTTTATCAATGGCCAAATGGAATCTGATATGACCTATGGTTGCCATGATTCTGTTGGCCTGTATGCATTCATATATAGTACCTTTGTGCATCTCTTCCTCCCTGCCCCCCCCCCCCCACACACACACACATAGTGTAGTTTAGTGCCCACAACTGTTCTGACACATTTGTAACTCTCAAAATCCTACAGAGTCTGAAAAACAATTTAGCATTTCAGACACTGGATATATAGAGAGATGTTCATCAGCAGGTGGTTCAACAAATGTTTACTGGTTCAAAAAGGGTAAGAGTAAAAATGAATGAATGAATGAATGAATGAATGAATGAATGAAAATGATTATGGAAATTTTCCTGCTTGTTCAAGCATATTTTCATGCCAAGCTACAGCACAGATATTAGAATTCCCTCCTGTCATAGATATAAACCATGACAAATTTCATGCTGACCCACTGGTAACATTCTATGTTTTCAGTTAAAATTTGGAATCTCCTGTCTACATGGAATAAAAATGCTGTCAGGTATGAATCTATAGCTTCCTAGCAACATCCCTCCACTTAATGGTCTATACAAACATCACTGGACATTTCAGCTGGTGTCTCATTTTTAGAAAGGGCCTAAGTAACACTGGGACGATACATTTGAAGATTTTGAATTCTGAGATTTTTTTACCCTTAAGAGCATGAAGCTTGAGTGTGAGCCATTTTGCAACATGAGCTCCATTATCACAAAGATAAACATTAGAAGCAGACTAAAACGTACTTTTCAGAAAAAAAGGAGAGTAATTCAAGAGAACCTCCTTTGTAAATTCTGTATTGAAAAAGAATCTCTTTCCTTCCCTTCCTCCCTCCCACAGGGTCTCATGGTATAGCCAAGGATGGCCTTGAACTGTGATCCTTTTGTCGGATATTACAGGCATGGGGCACTATATCCATTTTAGGTAATGCTGAGTATGGGATCCAGGTCTTTGCTCATACTAGGAAAGTACTCTACTAACTGATCTATATTTCCAGTCCCTGAACCATTTTTCTTCTTTTTCTTTTCTTTCCCTTTGTCTTACTTGAACATTTTTATTTGGCTGTATGAAAATTGCCACTTGAGCCAGTCTGGAAGAAAACTGTTCCATCAATACTACTTTTTATCCTAAAACTAAAAACCAGGCTGGATGGAGCTAGTCAAAGACCATTGAAAGGATTAAAAGTGTAAACAAATACACTAAAATTGTGATCAGTCTATCCCGTAAGCCACGTAAAAACAGGAAGCTCAGAGCAATTCTGGTCACCTAGCTATATACTGATTTCCCACATACCCCCAGTACTGAGGATTAAACCTAGGGTCTCATGAATATTTTCAAAGCTCTACCACTAAAGCTGTATTCCTAAGCCCCCTTTAAAATTTTGTTGAAAACTTTTCTACTTTAATAATTTCACATCTTCATGTCTACATGATGTCAGCCAACTGGGTTTCATAATTCAATATGCAGGAAGACCCCTATGATATACCAGTGTTGTAGCTCAATTGGTTGACAAATATTTGATTAAATACATCAGGTGGTCATGACTAGACTATTTCCCGAAAATACTGCCTTAGAGATGTTATAAGAGCTAGTTGATATCAATATGAAAGAAATAGGACTTTATTTTAAAAAAGTGAGCAAGTGTTGGCAGGAATATGATATATTTAATTAATCTGCTGGCAAAAATTTGCCAGAGATTTTTCAGGCAATTCTAACCCTTTCACTTTAAAAGCTTTTAAAGAAATGTTCAAAAGATATCAGGTAATGTGACAGAGGGAAATAACTTCTCTTCACAGAAATATAATTTAACAGTTAAAAATAAAAACACACTTATAAACTATCATGACTTATTACAAGTGTGTCCCGAAGAGTAAGGATGTTAAAACCACATCCAAGGAATTCTCTTTGGGTGAAATATACTGCTAGGAGATAGGGCTAGAAGCAACACAGAGATTAAGCAGCACTATAATCAAAGGAAGGGGACAGGTTTGAAAGAGGCAAATTAGGATTATCAACTGAAAAAAATCTGCAAACAATCCACAGGGAAATTTCTAAGATCAAGGCTGAAATGTTGGTGTGGAAATTCCTGATGTGAAAATTCTGAGATAAATACAAAATAAAGTCTTTTTTCCCTTTAAAAATTCCATATGGAGCATATGAGATACTCCATATGGATTGCTAAGGATCACACAGAACACTATTAAGGAATCTACTTACCACCTGCATTGGATAACGAAGTTTTTACTATACTTTTTATGCAGAAGAGGAAATTAAGTGATGAACCTGCAAGGAGGGGTTTAACATGCTGTAACTAATGCAATTCTCTAAGTAAGGTTTTCAGTTCATGGTATAGAGCGAAGCCTCTTCCAAATATTAGACTAAAACATAAACTTAGTTCTTACCCTGGCACTTCTTCTTCGTACATTCTTTACTACTATTAAGAGAATCTCAGGGAAAAGGCTGATAAATATTAGGAGAATTATGGCCAACCATGTGGAAACAGAAGACAGCATTTGAGCAAACACAAAATACATTCTCTGTTGTTTCAAAAAAGGCCTAGAATGGAAAGAAAACACAGAATAGAAAAACAAATCAGTTCCTGTCTTTTACATTTAAAAGGAATCTTCCTCACACACATTAATAAAAATTATTTTCTTTAGAATATACCAAAAGCAGTAAACAAATTTTATTTACCAAATGTTTAGAAAGAAAAGGGATGTGAATCAGGAGAATTGGAAACAATCATGCAACCAACTATAAAGCTGCCAAATGGTGACTATTTATGTGCATTGGAAAATGCCAGAGCTTAAAGACATTTAAGAGAAATGAAGTTCATTTCCATTCTAGTAAGCATTTTATTTCTTCAGCTGTCTTATTAAAAAGAGGAAGGATTTTTTGCTCTACATTCAGAAATCCAACTTTTTTAATGAATTACCCCAATTACCCCCTTAAAAGCTTCAGTAAAAATATAAAAAAAGAACTGTACAGTCTACAGTCACTCATAAATGAAAAGAATCTACTTTTCTTGTCTGCAAACATATATTGAATAATAATTTGTGCCCAGGAGATAGCAAGATGGCAGACTATTGTTAATAAGACAGTAAGCCTTAGAATCCAGAAATCCCGGAGAATCCTTAATCTGACATTGATTTTATTTCAAATCATCTACTGAATTGTGAAGTGGAGTTGAGAAACACATCCAATCTCCCTTATCCTCTAAACTGTATACCACAAAAACTCACTTTGTATTGTTCTAAACTGAGGTGAAGACAGTAGCTGCTTAAGGTCAGGATGCATATCAGACCATCATAAATAATTTAGAACTCAAGAACTCTAGGTTGATAACTACTTGGTTCTATTTATTAGATCATTGATCATGTATCACACTTCATGAACTAGTTTCTTCTCTGACTTCCACAGGTACGCACTTACATGCAGTAACCCACATTCACACACACACACACACACACATACCACATAATAAATTTTTAAAATCTTAAAAAGGAGGGTTGGGCGGTGGTGGCACATGCCTTTAATCCCAGCACTCGGGAGGCAGAGGCAGGCGGATCTTTGTGAGTTCGAGGACAGCCTAGTCTACAGAGCGAGATCCAGGACAGGCACCAAAACTACACAGAGAAACCCTGTCTCAAAAAGACCAAAAAAAAAAAAAGAAAAAAAAAAAAAAAGAGGGTTTCAATGTCTCTGTAAAACATGTCCAGAGCAATAAGCTGTAATTCAGCTAGAGTTTTATATAATTTCTAGTCACATTTTGTTGGTTGCTTTATAATTTTAAGCTCATGTGTAGCTTAACCTGAACAATTCTACTTAAGCACAGAACTTGAAGTAACAAAATAAAACAAAGATTTGGTCTTCCTTTATCTATGTGATATATGTGCACAGAAATTCAGGTACCCGCAGCCCTAGTGGGTACCTGAAGCTATGATTAGTGCCTTCCCTTAACAGTTTCCAATAATACCCATAATAAGATTAATTTATAGAACATGCACGAAAAGACAATAATGAAATAAATAAGCATAATAAAGACACCAGCATCATTACTCTTGTACTTTGCTGACCCAAAATAAGGGTCAGTTAAATACAAGCATTGTGATACCATGACAGCTGACCTGAAAGTGAGATAGATACTAAGCAATTTATGGGTAGGTAGTATATATGGCTTGAGTACATGGGACAAAGGGATGATTCATGTCTCTGACAGGACAGAGTTGGGTGATGTGCAATTTTATCACACTACTGAAAACTGCATTTAAAATTTATGAATTGCCTATTTCTAGGGGGTTTCATATGATTTATTAGTCTATGATTCACTGAGGACAATCCAAACCCTCAAGTGAAACCATAAATAAGAGAAGACTATTGTACTTCATTTTCAGTAGGTATCACTTAAAGAATGTAAGTAAGTGTGACAAAGACTTTTAAATGACTTAATGAGGAAAAGTCTGTATGAAGGGTGCAAAATCGTTCAGGTTCTAGAAACATTTTATTATTGTGGAAATTTGTCTAACTTTTGAATGTTCATTACAGAGTCACAGAACTATAGTATTCTGGGTAGACAACTACATACTGCATTTAGTTAACAAAGTTTGGTTTGGTTGTATAATACTAAAGAAAACAAGGTTTTTTTTCAGTTTTGTTTGCTGTTCTTAATCATTAACTACAGAGGTGCCATATGTGCTATAATTACACGTTTTATAAGTGATTCAGTGTGTGTGTGTGTATGTGGGTGTTTTATTTTGAGACAAGTTCTCACTATGTAGCCCTTACTGGTCTGGAACTCACTACACATGTCTCTACCTCCCCAATTCTGACATTAAAGGTGTGTTCTGCTACACCTGATCATATTATTAAAACATTTTATCTTAAATAGCTTTTCAAAGGGGAAACTTTTCCCCCCTTTGGGGTGTGTGTGTGAAGGGTGATACAGGTTCTCTTGTATCCCAGGATAGATACCAAACTCAATAACTCAGGATGACCTTGAACTTCTGGTGATCCTGCCTCTCCTACAAATACTGAAGGAAAATGCTATCATTTAAGAGATAATAGGGTCTAAATCAGTGGTTCTCAACCTTCCTAATGCTGTGACCCTTTAATATAGTTCCTCGTGTTGTGGTGGCCCCCAACCATAAAATTACTTTGTTGCTACTTCATAACTGTAATTTTGCTACTGTCATGAACTGTACTGTAAATATCTGATATGTGACCCCTCAAAGGGGTTGTGCCCCACAGATTGAGAACCACTGGTCTAAATGGACAAAAATGTATATTTTAGCCAATGTTATCTGGTTGAAATGTCATAGGATGAGCATTTCTATTGGAAATCACATTCACAGTCAGGCTACTAATTGTTTTATTTCACAGAGAGTTGATAATATATCTATAAATTTAAGTATTTGGGCAGAGGCTATACAAATATTGAATAAATATTTGAATTCAATCTCTGAATTGAATGAATGGACTAATAACATACTTATATTTGAAAATTTACCTAAAAGTAGCACCATTACAAGGTATAAGTAACCTCTAGTTCATTAATATTAAAGATTAGCCACCTTATATATCAGATATAGTCAAAACTTTAAAAGTATGTTTTACATATAAAGTATACATATATATTGCTATTTAATATTGCTCACATATGTATAGCTGCTTACCAAATAATTCCTCCCCAGAAGAATGAGAAAAAAACATAAAAGGCTAGAGAACCCCAAATCACAAAGTGATTTATCCATGTCCAGAATCGGGTATCCAAGGCGAGCTGAAATGACATGACACAATCATTTTTTTGACAGGCACAAAAATATTAGGTAATACATTATGATATCTGATGATTTATACAGATACAATAGTTATGGGAGAGCCGGGCGGTGGTGGCGCACGCCTTTAATCCCAGCACTCAGGAGGCAGAGCCAGGCGGATCTCTGTGAGTTCGAGGCCAGCCTGGGCTACCAAGTGAGTCCCAAGAAAGGCGCAAAGCTACACAAAGAAACCCTGTCTCGAAAAACAAACAAACAAACAAACAAACAAACAAACAAAAAAACAATAGTTATGGGAGGATTTAGCCTTAGCCATGGCTTTAGAAGGGGATGTAGCTGAAAGAGCAGTAGCTAGGCTTTTCAAAGTACTAAAGTAAGAATGCTGAGCGCTGCCCTGAGGTCTCTTAAATTCCACAGTACAGGCATGGAAGTGTAGTTAAGTCAAGCAATTTGTAGGTAGAGGGCTATAGATGTCTCAGTATTGAGTGACAGGTGACAAATGAAGCAACGGTAATAACTAGGAGGCCAAAGTCCCAAGTGGAGTTACTTGCCCAAGGACACACAGTTATGAAATAGCTAGCCTGAGATGACTTGTAGTATTTATTTAAAATCCTACAAAAAAAGCTGGCAAGATGGTTTGGTAGGTAAGGTGCTTACTTGGCAAGTCTGAAAACTTAAGTTAATCCCCATTACCAAACCTCTCTGACCTCCACAGGAACGCCGTGGAATAGAAATACACAAACACAAACACACACACACACACACACACACACACACACACACACACACACACACACACACAGTAAAGTTCTATGATATTACTGAATTAGCAGATGAATGCAGGTGAATAATGAAAATATTAGAACAAAAATATAAAGAAAACAGAAGTCCTATGACAATGATATTTCTGAATTCTGTTTCAATCTAAGACTCTATGAAATATTACTAGAAGGATCAGATGAATTTGATTATGCTTTCAAGTATGAAAGTCTCAATTCATGAGTCTTGAGGACAGCATTCATCAAGGTTTTATAGCATTATTGCATGGCTGCATATCAATGACAATGATTTTGCCAAAATTACATTTCTTCTTTTGCACGGATATATTTTTGTTTGTTTTTGAGACAGGGTCTTTCACTCAGTCTGGCCTGGAACTCACTATGTAGGCCAGAATGGCCTTGAACTCTTGGTGATCCTCTTGCCTCAGTCTCCCAAATACAGGAATTATAGATACAAACAATCATGCCTATCCCTGTCACATACCTTTATATACTTCCTTAACTAACATATAGGTAAATTTCAGTAATTAATAGAGCTTATAAAATTGTATTACCACCAAGCTCTTTCACATACATGTCTTCTATACAGACATTTATTTAAGCGTTTTAAGCACTAAAATTCGTTTAGAGCCAGCCAGCGATCCTTAAATAGATGACAATTTTTTTTAAAGATTCAAGTTTTTGGGTTTTTTTGTTTGTTTGTTTGTTTTTGGAGACAGGGTTTCTCCATGTAGTTTTGGTGCCTGTCCTGGATCTCGCTCTGTAGACCAGGCTGGCCTTGAACTCACAGAGATCCGCCTGGCTCTGCCTCTTAAGTGCTGAGATTAAAGGCGTGCTCCACTGCTGCCCAGCAGATTCAAGTTTTTTAAATTAAAAAATGATTTAAGGGCTGGAGAGATGGTTCAGTGGTTTAAGAGCACTGGCTGCTCTTTTAGAGGACCCAGGTTCAATTCCTATCTCCCACATGGCAGCTCGCAGGGGTCTTTTAACTCCAGTCTGAAGGAGATCATTGCCTTCTGGTATGAAGATACCAAAGAGAGAGTTGGATGCCCTGCAGCTGATATTACAGGCAGTTGTGAATCTTGCAGCATGGGTGCTAGGAACAGAACTCCAATCCTCTACAAAACTAAGCAAGTGCTCTGCTGAGCAATCTCTTCAGCCCTATGATACAAGTTTTCAACATGGAAATAGTATACATATATATTCACAAATTTTCAGCCTGTTTATATGTAATTTAGTATAATGCCTTAAAACAACAGTTAACTTTTCCTTTGCAAGTGGGTATCAATTGCAGATAGCTTCTTGGTTAGGGGTGGGAATATATATGCCCACTTCCCCTTCTGGATCCAACACAGTGTTTTTGAGTTTTCGTTTTGTTTGCCTGTTTGTTTTCTAAAGAGAGAGAGAAAGAAAAGGCATGGAGATAAGTGGGTAGGGAGGATCTGAGAGGAATTAGAGAAGGGGAAAAGCGTGATCAGAATATATTAAATGAAAAATTTTTCAAAAAAGTAAAAAAGAACAATCCAGTGATTAAGAAGGAATATGTTTCCAAAAAGTGTGGTGTCTGAATTTCTTAACACCAAAATAGCACAGAACATGTACTAGAAAAAATGATAAATAGTATACAAATGCTAAAACCCTTAGCATCAAATATTTTTTAGTAAGCATTCAGACAAAGGCTTGGCTAACATACAGTAACACAAAGATTAAAAGAAAAAGCTTATACAAAATATATTTGAATAAATAAATCTAACCTTCAGAGTTACAGTGAATACTAAGACTGTAAAAACAATGGTTCCAAATGTCCAGTTTCCATATATCTGAAAAACATTAAACAATTACATGTATCATAAATACATAAGTCTGCTGAAGAAAAAAAAGTCAGGTTTAATCCTGCATGTAACTGTCAAAGATCTTTTTATGAATTATTTGAGAAAATAGTTGGTTAATAAGATTAAGTCACAATACTATATTTTCACGGATAGATATACCACACCTGTGGTTGGCTGGGTTCATTACCATGCAGCATCAAACAGGGAGTTCATGGGTTTGATAAAGGAGGAGGGAAAAAATACTATTCCACTATAAGCACCATTCATCAAAATAAGACATCTGGATGACTCATGTCACAAGTGGACTCACATTTTTAAAAGTGAGTCCAATTATTACTACATCTGTTAGCATGTGCACACCAAAGGGAAGCAGTACCACTTATAAATCCAAACGATGGCAATGAATGGCACATATGCTTACCAAACGCTGTCAAGATCTGAATGCATAACATTGAAACAAAAAATGAGATGTAAAACGTTTTTAAAAAATAAAAACAAAATAAGGTTACTAGAAAAAAGGATTCAACCAATCATACATGGGTTTAGCTGCTGATAAAAATTCTTATTCTTATGTAATTTTAGCAAACACTTAAAAAGGATGGTGACATATACAATAAAATCTTCATGACCTCAAAATGCATAATGAATCAGAAACCGCCTGGGCCAATGATTCTTATATACTACCTGGAATGTTGGCTAAACCCATGAATGTCAGTCAACATAAAGCAAATTTGAAGCAATTACTAGCCAGTTATATACAATTTTTGTGTCAAAAACTAAAAAGTAAAAGTCCCAAAACTACTCATATGTGAAGGATCTGAGAAGTCATAAAATTGAACCTCTACTTACTAGAAGACAAAAGTTGACTTGGAAAGCTAATGAGACTTTCCCAAGGATGCCTAAGATTTAGCAGGACCTTCTGTGGCAAGTGCTAGGTATATACATTCTAAGGTCACTTAATATTTTTCTAATAGTTACATTATGATTAATAATTAGAAAGGATTCAGACTAAACTAACTTGTTAGTCCAAATTAGGAAGGCCTGACTATGGTATCTAATTTCAAAGTATCATTCAAATTCATTGAGCTTATACTTTTGTAAGAGATGTTAGTTGTGTAGGTTTCAGACATATGATATGCAGTAAATTATTTTTGAAACTTAGCTCTTGCCTCATATTTATGATAAGTAAGAATGACCATAAAAGAAGAGTACCAAACACAGCAAAGGAGAATACAGTGAAAGCAACATGCAAGGCACAAGTTTCAGTTTCCCAGTGTGTGGCTGAAGGAAGATGGACACTTGTCCCACATCAATATTTCTCTCCTAGAGTATGGGGAGGCCAAAATCATTCCAGTGTAGATGCTCACTGATATTGTCACTTTCTCAGGAGGCACTAGCAGAACCAGCATAGCATTTTTTAAAAGAACACTGCACTCCCACTTTGAAATGAAAGGAAAGATTTCCCTCTTTACATATTTGTCTAACACTACTAAGACAGTAGTTACCCTCTTCAACTCCAAACATGGAAGGCTACTAACTATGAATTAGAAATGCAGAGGGCCATGCTGTGCAGTAACACAGGAAAAATCTTTCTTCCTATTACAACACACAAGTATAAAAAAAAGTCCCAAGGACTCGATTCACTTTCTAAAAACTATAAACAAATGAAGATTCTAGAGGGTTTGCTTAAGCTCTCTTCCTAAATACAGACACAAAAGTGATTTTCTTACTCCAGTACTTCCTTTATGTTAAAGACCTAGTGTTAAGAAAAATAATTTGCAAAATGATTACTGTAAAAGTGTGTGACAAATGCAGTACCTATGGGAAAAATACATGTTCCTTTTACCTTTCCATTGTCTTCTAAGGATGTAGTCTGAAAAAGGAAATAAGTTCCAAAGAAGAATACTGTCCCTTCAAAGGCAGCCAGAAATGTCCAATATAAGAAGGGCCCCAACTGTAACATAGCATTGCCAGTAATTTTCCTATGAAGAAATGGAGAGAAAAATTAATGAATCTCTATAAGCTGCTGAGTTAAAGATACAAGGAAATACCAAAAATGGGCAGTAATCTGACCTTGTTATAATGAAGGGGTTGCCCATCATGATGGACAGAAAGATTTTTGTTTTAATTAAGAGATAGACTGACCAAAGTTAGATCTTCATGGAATCACTACCTGACCAAGACACTGAAGTAAACTGTAAAATATTGCTAAAATTTTGGCCAAGCAACAGGACAAAATAACATCAATAATAATTATATACCATTTAACAGTTATTTATAAAACGGTACAAACTGAGTTAAGATTGACCATCTGTTCATCTACATACCTTAACTTTATACATGTATATATAAATTAAATCAGTATACACACACAAACACACACACACACACACACACACACGTACTCACACATGTGCACACATGTACACACATAGGCAGAGAGAGAGTGTAAAAACTAGGTATCATTATTCTCATTTGCAAATAAATCTCAGAAAGGTATAACATACTGGGGAATCTTTCAAAGCTAGTAATGTATAAAAAGACAAATACCATATGTTCTCACTCATTTATGGAAGCTAAAGAGTTGACCACATAGAATTAGAGTTGCATAGAGGTTGCTAGAGACAAGGAAGGCAAGGAGGATAATGAGAATGTGAATGATAGTTTCCAAAATACTGTTAAAGAATGAGAGATAGTTGTAATGTGGTTTAGTACAGTAAGATAACCACAGTTTATCAGTTTAGACACTTCAAAATAAACCAAAGAGTTTGAAGGTCATCAGCACAGAGAAATGATGGATCTGAGAAGATGTAAATATTAACTGCTCTGATTTTTATCATTACACATTGTAAACATGTATTAAACTATAATACCATAATGCATAATCAAAAAATATTGTAAGTTAATAAATACTCATGCCTGACTTACATCCACATTCTGATTTTACTAGTATTATGTATAACCTGAACATCAGGGTATTTTTAATTATCAATTTTACTTATAATAGTAATTATACATTACTAGCTTTGAAAGATTCTCGGTTAATTAAGTGTGGAGTTTGGGAACCATTATGTTATAGCTTTCTGAGATTTATTATTTGAAAATGAGAGTAATGACACCTAGTTTTTGCACTCTCGTTTCTCCCTCTTCCTCAAGTGATTCTAATGTACAGAAATTCATTCAGTAAGAGACAGAGCTAATATACAGTGCTGCATTGAATTAACTTCAAACACATATTCTTTTAGCTGAGTCTTATGGCACACACCTTTAATCCTAGCAGAAGCAGGCAGATCTCTGAGGCCAGTGTGGTCTACATAGTGAGTTTTAGGATGGTTAGAGCTACATAGTGAGACTCTGTCTTAAACAAACAAACAAACAAACAAACAAACAAACAACAGTAACAAAAAAATCATATGTTCTAAACAATGCTACCAAGCTTTCTAGCTATATCTGTGTATATATTTCTTTCAATTTCTTACTGGAAATGTAACCTATTTTAAGTAGGTCTTAGTTTTCCATCAAATCAAATCACATGCTAGAGGCTATACAATGATGTCCTGATAAATAGCAGGTAGACAGATTAAAATTAAAATTTCAAAAATAGCACAATCTTCTCAGTCAGAATATGAAATAAGGCTACTCATCTAATGAAGCAGATCTGCATAAAGAAGATGGCTTTGTGTATGTATCTTTTTTTGCTTCCATTTGAAATTTCTCATACCATGTATCTAAGGGTGTCTAATTACTCAAACAGCACACCTATTGTAACTCTACAGAATGTCATTGGGCTATATTATCATAGCTGTAACATAAATGCAATGGTTTTGGGGACAGAGAATGAAAACATGACAAATTATACAACTTTTTAACTTATAGGACTTTTAGGTGCAAATCTAAAGTTCTGGGGATGCTGTTTGTAAACAGAAAAAGAGAAGAAAGATGTGGCTGTTTCTCAGAAATAGGAAAAGGACCTCTCTGAAGACCCTCGGAGTGAGTGACTATCAACTGCTAACCAATGTGGCTTTTCTAGTCACTGACTTAGACTGGAACAAAAGCAGAAAGTGATTCCTGTCCTTGTAAAAATCTATGAAAAAAGAATGGCAGAAGTATCATGGTATACTGAATTCCCAGTCAGACTTTTTAGCCACACTAAGATGAAGAAACTGTTAGAAACTCAAAATAGGTCACCCGACCTGAAGGAAAGCATAAATGAAAAGCAGGAATAAGGGTCTGGAGAAAGGTTACACTTGAGGACCTCTATATGACACGCAACAGACGTTACCAGAGCCTTCACCTTTTGTTGTCTAAAGCTCAAGAAGTCGGCTACACCTATCTCCTCTCTTAACAAAAGAATTAGTTCAGTTTTCAAATTTCTATTAAGAATATGAAAATAACCAAATGTTTCACATCAATATTTTTCAAAATGTGAGTCATTAAGTTCTAAAGGTATAATGCATAATGTCACTGCTAAAATTCAGTAGGATACTGTAGAGGTCCATATACATAGACCAGGACTTCATGTTTATAAAGAAGTTGTCGGCCGGGCGGTGGTGGCGCACGCCTTTAATCCCAGCACTCGGGAGGCAGAGCCAGGCGGATCTCTGTGAGTTTGAGGCCAGCCTGGGCTACCAAGTGAGTTCCAGGAAAGGCGCAAAGCTACATAGAGAGACCCTGTCTCGAAAAACCAAAAAAAAAAAAAAAAAAAAAAAAGTTGTCAGGGCAACAATAATCTGTTGTCCAGGAACAAGCTAAGATAAAGGTACCCATTGCTTACAATGCTAAGAAGGTTAAAGTTACACTTTAGGCTGGGTCACAGTTATATGATAGCATTTATTTTGCATCTCTATGAAAGACTGTGCAATAATTTATGACCTATACATGGAGCACAAGTATATCCATTTAAGTACAGAACTGATATCTAGGAAAATAAACCACTCTCCTGTTGAATGATCTGTTTTAGCTGAAAATTCCCAACAGAACCACTTATTGAACCAAGTGATCAATTCTGTGTCCTTCCTACCTGTAGATTAAATGAAACCCACTACTTAAAGCCCAGCATGGTGACTTATACCAATAATACCAGAACCAACATAAGAGGATTTCACAAATTCTAACATGAGCTACACAGTAAGTTCAGACAAACTTGAACTATAGAATGGGAAATTGTCTGAACTATATTTTCAACTTACATATATAATCGAGGGTCTGAGGTCAGAGTATCAATGTTGATGTGCTGTTCCAGTAGACTGTAGGCCAGGATGGGCAGGGATGTGAAACAGATATTGTACATTGTAAGATAAGCAGCATCATAGAGTGGCTGAAAAGACAGACAAACAAAGAGGAAAACAATGTACTGATATAATTATGTATTTGTAAAAACCTGTAGCTAAACAGTTTTTAAAAATGCGTTTTGGGGCAGCAAAGGAAACTTTGTAAATAAGGTCACCCTACTTGGTAAAGATAAAAATATTAAAAAATTCTATATGTCATTATTAACAAACCCGGCCCTTTAACAGGATCTTAATAATATTTGCATGCTATGCCTTATTTCTAATAGATATTAACTATTAACTTTATACAAGATTTTTCAGTTGCTAAAAATGTAGATATTTAGTAGCTACTTTAGAAAAGACCAAACAAGTACAAGTCAGGAGTCCTTACAGAAACTAAATCACAAGGAGTGGCCAACCTATGTTGCAGATCTTTCCTGGTTAACATTTTATGTATTTTTGGTTAATATGTTATAAGCCCAAATTCTATAATAAAGCTATTTCAAGCACCCTCTTCTTGAGAATTCCTCTGGTGTGTGTACTTACTTTGTAATAAACTGAATTTGATCAACTGTAGGTATGAGCCTAGTGACCTTTGTCTTGAGTGAGTTAACAGGACTGAGTTCCCCAAACAGAAGTTCTCCCCAATCAGAAATCCTGAAAGCATTAAGGAAGTACTGGACGAGTGAACACAGATGTCATACCACATTTGTAAATGATCAATCAGGAATTATAAACTTCTTCAAAAAATATTTCTAAAAATTTTAAAATTATGTGTATGTGTATGTCTGTGTATGGGTAAGTATATGTGAATGCATGTATCCAAGGAGGCCAGAAGAGGGAGTAAGATCCCCATAGAGCTAGAGTTACAGATGGCTGTGAACTATTCAATATGTGCCCTCTCTCTCTCTCTCTCTCTCTCTCTCTCTCTCTCTCTCTCTCTCTCTCTCTCTCTATATATATATATATATATATATATATATATATATATATCCATCCATCCATCCCCCCCTCTCTCTCTATCTCTCTATCTCTCTGTCTGTCTGTCTGTCTATCTATCTATCTATCTGTCTGTCTGTCTGTCTATCTATCTATCTCTCTATCTCTCTATCTATCTAACACTATCTAACATCTAGCTATTTAACACTGTGCCATCTCTCTAGCCTACAAAACTTCTATTGAAAAAATTTTAAGTATTTTATGACCTTCATTCAGGTGAAAGTACTTATTGAGTTCAATGTATCTAGACACTGCTAGGTGTCATCATATAACCATTTGTGTTGTCTGATTAAAGGCATCCTATATTCACACTTACACACACACACACACACAATGTAAATGTTCTCTGATTAATAAAATTCACTTAAATGTGATACTAATCAATACAACTACGTATTTCCAACCAGTGAAGTAAACACACAATTACAATGAAAAGTGATTGGAAAAGGTTGTAAACAACTTGAACAGAACTTTTTTTAGGTTATTCACTAGTTGGCTTCAAACCATTAATAGAGAACATAGTAAGTACCAAGCACTGAGGACAGAAATGATTCTTCCTTATATTTATCCAGGAGTTCTAATTCAAGACAGAGAGTAGTTAGGGTATACAGGGAGTTGGTAGACCCAGGAGGGGTCACATTCTTTGATTTCAACAGAGAAAAAGCATGAGATATATAGTACACTCAACATCTCAATGAAGAGAAAAGAATGGTTCTGCATAAAATATGGAGACAATTTTCATATTGTTTCTATGAACAAAGATTTAAGATCAGCAAAAAATATTTCACTGAAATAAAATAAAAATTTGCTATACTTCTAATTTTCAAATGAGAGTACTAGTCCATGACATACAATACTACATTTGCTTTGGTAACTACCCATTTTCATAAAGAGTAGATTAAAAGAGAAACTCCCAGATTGATTGGTGTGTAATTTAGTCTTGAATTTATTCAAACAAAAGAAGCATCAATTTACTTTTGCTTCAGGATGGACCTTTAAGGTTACATGAGAATTAATTGTAATTCTTGGATGTATAATTAGAGGAGACAGAATGTCCCACACACAAGGTTTAGTTGATAATACTGTTATTTTGCTAAACCTGTAACAAATGTTATCTTTTTCATGGAAAAAAAACAGACAAGTAATATCCTAGGCTTTACTAAGGATAAAGAGGTTTTGTTTTAAGTAGTGTGATTCCATTTCTACATTTTCATAGCTTACTTTCTGAACTCTAGAGAGTATCTAATGAGGCTATGGACTGAAAAAGATAGCCCATATGTACTTCAAAAACACAATATAAAACAAGCTGCTACCAGCACTAACACAACCCCAAAGTAAAAAGTAAAGATTTGTGCTTCCTCAGAGATCATCCCTTTACCTTTAACATTTTAAAGGTGTCTGCTTAGTTTCTTCCCTAGGGTACTCAGGTCTCTGCCTCAATGTTGGCTTATTAGAGAGATTGTTCCAGATAACTCTTTTAAAATAGTAGCCTCTCATCTTGTCACAGTATATCCTTTTATTATTAATTTATATTTTATTATACTTTATATTTTTTCTTCAGAGCACCAATACTGTATCCTATATCACATATTTGTCTATCTCTTCCCTATAACTATCTCACAAGCTTTAAAATGATAACATTTGTTTCTATCATTGCAATATCCTCAGAAAAACATTGCGTCCTAGCATTTAGACTCAACAAAATAAAGCTTTTTAAAAGTATTTTTAAAATTTGGAAATTCAGTCACAGATAACTGTGACAATGTGGTTATCTAGCTTGTCAACCTCATTAAGTTGTTTATAGATTAACCAAATTTTTGAGCCAGTCATCATTATAGTTCTTGTATCTGCTACACTTCTACTAAGAAGGGCACATACCTGTTGTGAGAATCCACAGAAGAATTGGTACAAAAACTGTGGCAAAATGAAACAAAGATTCTGGAAAATATTAAGACCAAGATTAGTATTTTCACTTCATCAACTTTAAAAACCCAAACAGGGCACTGTACAAAGCCACTCCTAAATCCTCCTAATGTTAGAATGCAACAACTCTTTGTTGCAAAGATGTAAAGAAGTTAGTTTCAAATGATTAATTCATAGTAAGAGTAACTTTTGCCACTACCTAAGCAAAAGAGGATCTCACTTATGAGGACTTCTTGCTATTTTTGAATTTTTTTTTCCTTTTTGAAGACAGGGTCTCACATTGTAGTCCAAGGTAGTCTGGAACTTGCCATATACTCCTATCTGGTCTCAAACTCATTGTTTTCCTCCTGCTTCAGCCTCCCATGTGCTAGGACTACAAATGTGAGTTACCATGCCTGGCTCTCTATATTCTTGTTACAGGAAAGAAATGTGTTCATATGACATGAACATCTAATTTACTGTCCCTTAAATACCAACTGGATTTATAGAATCACTATAGACTTACATAATACCCAAGTATGTATTTTATTTCATTTAAATATTTTATTTTTAACTGTGTCTATGTGTGTGTACATGTGAAGGCCAGAACAAGGTGTTGGAATCTAACTCCAGGCCTCTGCAATAACAAGTACTGTTAGCCCCTAAGTTTCTGACCTCAAACATATATTTTAAAGTTGATTAATAGTAATACATACTCAGAATATTATTATAGTTTATGTTGACACCAACAGTTATTAACTGATAATTGCCTTTATTAATGCCTCATTAAACAACTTAGTTAAACACCTGCTACAAGCAAAGATGGTATCAGTGGTCATTATCAAAATGAGCAGCCAGGTGTGGTGGCATAGGCCCTTGATCTCAGGACTCGAGAGGCAGAAGCAGGCAGATTTTTGTGAGCCAGCCTGGTCTACAAAGTGAGTTCCAGGTCAGCCAGGGCTATACAGTGAGACCCTGTCTCTCTCATACACACAAAGGAACAATCGTCTCTTCTGAAAGTTATTCTCTGACCACACACATGCACCGCTATTAAATAAACAAAGAAATAGGGTGACTGGTGGATGACATCACCAGGAAAAGGCACTTGCAGGACAAACCTGATAACTTGAGTTTAATCCTCAGAACTCACATAAAGGTAGAAGGCTAAAACTGACTCCATAAAGTTGTTCTCTGGCCTCCACATATGGGTTGTGGCACGCACAGGCACCCTTCTTGCAACAATAAGAAAACAGATTCAAGAAAAATTCGGGCTGGTGAAGTGGTTCTGCAGGTGAAGGCACTTGCCTCCAAGCCTGAGGACCTGATTTCTAATTCCTGGGAGCCACATGGTAGAAGAAAAGAACTAATTACCACAAGTTCTCTTCTGACATCCACATGTGTGCCCTAGTACATATGCATTCTCACACATATTACACTAAATAAATACATGTACATTAAACAAATAAAGCTTTCTTTCTCTAAAGGGACTTACCTTTTTATCTGGAGAAATGCTAAAATCAAACATGAAAATGGCAAGTGGAGAATTCACAAGGCCATTACAAGCCACTGAGAGTGAGCATAAAATATTGAAAATTAATGCCTTCAGGCAAATGTAGCAGAACTGATTTTTAAATGACTGTCAATCTTCAAAGTAGGCTATAAGCTTGAGTGCTCCAATCAGTTTGCTGTTCCCAAAATTTAAACTTCTCTTAAGGAAGCACTTTCAAATGCCCTGTTTTTATTATGTCTATGTCTAGATAGCACTGTCCTTCCCATTGCCATACATTTTCACTCAATTCACCAGAATTTGCTCTGGGAAACTCAGAGCTGTTCTAAAAAACCAAGTCTATCCTCAACATGGATGATCATCATGTACTATGCTGAAAGTATTTAGATAAATATACTACAGGTTCTGGAGGGTACACCTAAAGAAGTTTGGTCTAATATACTTTGAACAACATAAAAATAAAATGTCAGAGCATAACAATAAAATGTAGCAAAAAAAGTCAGAGTCCTTATGATCAACCTGGAGGACTAGCAATCATTTGTATTTATCAGTTTTGGCAAAACACAGAAATAGCACAACTTTTAGAGTTATGATCTATAGGGAAATTTTCTGAGATTAGAGGAAGCAGAGTTCAGTGAGTATGATTAACTACTCTGAGACTAGAGGGTTGAGAAAGGATATCTGCCTCCCTTAGTAGAGTGTAAATTCCATAATAAAAGGGACATTACATGTTTAACTATCTTAATCCATGGTGAATCTTTGGTTTCTAAAAAAGTTCTTGGCAAACAGCCACACATTGAAAATTCAGAGCTTGAGCCAGCTGTGGTGGCGCATGCCTTTAATCCCAGGATTTAGTAGGCAGAGGCAGGTGGACGTCTGAGTTTGAGGCCAGCCTGGTCTACATATTGAGTTCTAGGACAGACAGGGATACATAGAGAGACCCCGTGTCACTCCCCTTCCCCCCCAAAATTCAAAACTTGAATGCTGGGGTGTGGTGGCACAAGGGTTTAATCCTAGCACTAGGGGAGGCAGATCTGAGTTCAAGGCCAGCCCAGTCCAGGAGGGCCAGGGCTATAGAGAAATCCTGTTTTGAAAAACCAAAAGAAGAAAAAGGAAAAAAGTATTCAGAACTTGAATTAGGTCTTAAGGATGAACAGGATAGTAAGGACCAAGGCAAAGTAGTATTGGTAAAGCCATGCATAATAGTATACAACTGTAATCTCACAGTACTCTGGAGGCTGAAACAGAAGGAGGCAAGTTCAAGGCCAGTCTGATCTACAAAGTGAACCCTGTTTCAAAGACACATACACATTTAAAACAGCAAGACAACAACAACAACAACAAAACCCCCAAAAAACAAAACACCATACCCAAATCCAAATATGGAAAGAGCATCAGACTGAGGGATTGTCTTAAAAGAAAGATTAATGATCAGACAACATAGAGTAAAATTGAAATAGATTGGAAAGTAGTATATTCTAAAGTAACCCGGGTGGATTATATGACAATTTGAAAATTAAATGATAAGAAAAGGGGGTGGGGGATGGAAAGGCTGAAAAGATGGCTCAGCAGTTGAGTGTACTCCTGATGGGATTTTGTTCCCATCATCCACATGGACATCTTACAATGCCCTTAACTCCAGCTCCAGGGGCATCTGATGACATGGGCACCTCCAATCATGTGCACATACACATACACCTATATTTATTAAAAATAAATCTAAAAAAAGAGGGAATGCCAAAGGCTGTTAAAAGATTAGAAATCCTTTTTGGACAAAGGATAGCTGTATATAATGAATAGTGTTGAGTCAGTAATGTAGATGATAATGAACAAAGAAGGAATCACCTACATAAATAATCTCTGATACCCTTTGTTGTGAATGGGGTCATAACAATTTTTGACCACTGGTCAACATTTGGTAAGTTAAAGCTTGTTTTGTTCTTTTAATAGAGAATTCATTCAATCTGGTTGAATTAGGCCAAATTCCAACTGGAGGCAAACCAAGCTTTTAGGGAAAAGGAGTCAGATTACCAGACAAATCTACATGACAAATCTTCATGGAGATCTCATATTAGGGGAAGGTAAAAACAAAAAAACAAAAACGGAAAAAAAAAGAACAACAACAACAAAAAACAGTGATGCCAAGCCCAACAGACCCTAACTCTGATGTAGATTACTGGATTTAACCTACTGTGGGAATATAGTTCTCATATTTCCTAGCTGTAGAACCAAGAACTAAGATAGCATTTCCCTGAGATCTATTTTTTATATATTTAAAATTGAGATTGTGCTAGGTGGTGGTAGAGCACGCTTTTAATCCCAGCACTTGGGAGGCAGAGGCAGGAGGATCTCTGTGAGTTTGAGGCCAGCCTGGGCTACAGAGTGAGATCCAGGACAGGCACCAAAACTACACAGAGTTTGAGGCCAGCCTGGGCTACAGAGTGAGATCCAGGACAGGCACCAAAACTACACAGAGAAACCCTGTCTCAAAAAAAACACCAAAAAAACAAACAAACAAAAAACCCCTGAGATTCTATAATTTGCCTCATAGGAGATCTTGTGAGGATTAATTAATAAATGAAGTGCTTCTGTCAAACAACAAACTATTTTACACATGTTGGGTTCAATTACCATCATTATAATTATACTTTTTCATTCTTCAATGCTTGGCCCAACAACTAGTTAATACAGGTTGGCAAGGCAGGGTTTTTAGCAAATCTGGCAACCTAGGATCAGTGATCATATATATTATTATCTATACATTTTCCTTCTATATACACATACATGTGTTATCTATAAACATTTTCTTTTCTTTTTATTTTTTATTTTCAAAGACAAGGTCTCCTCATGTAACTCTGGCTGTCCTCAAATGTATATAAACCAGGCTAGCCTCAAATTCACAAGAGGTCCACCTGTCTCTGCTTCCTGAGTGCTGGGATTAAAGGTGTGCACCTGTGCTTGATTAGCTTTTTAATTTTTTATTTAACAAATACATATGTAGGAGTCTTGGCATCCGATGCTATATATGCCAAGAGGGATCATTGTTGATGACTCATTTGATGGGCTATAGATGACAAAATGAATAAAGAAGTGAAACAGGAGATGTTAGACAAGATGGTGGACATCATGCAGGCTTGGTCTGCTAGATTATCTAGGGAATAATCTGGGGAAAGCTAGTTAACAGCTATCAGAAGAAATGGGTGATGGCCACAAAATCTCTGGCCTAGTTCAAAGTAAAATAGGAAACCTTGGAAATCAGAACAGAAAAAAATACAGTCCAACCCAAGGGACAGCATAGTCTGGGGAACTCCCTCCTCTCTGTTAGAGTGACTACTGAAACTTAAGACAGAGAGTCTCAAAAATTGGCACAATATCCTCAGTAAAAGACATTTATAATAAAAAAGAAAGATGGAAGAAAGGAGACAAACGTTATGCATGGTGGCTGCAGAGAAAAAGATTAAAAAAAAAACAAAACCTTTTCCTTGGCAATGAACTGGAACAGTTGTAAAACGCCATTTTAAAAGACCCC